CGGTCGTGCACGCGGATGTGCTCGATCCCCGCGAGCGGCGTCGCCGCGAGCGCCCGCGCGAAGGCCTCCAGCGCGGGCCGCGCGACCTGCGCGGTGAAGTTGAGGTGGACCCAGTCGTAGAGCCGCCGCGCGCAGTCCGCGGCGATGCGCTCGAAGTTCGCCGCGGTCGGGGCGCAGAAGTAGATCGCGGGGGCCCCTGGGACGGGCTCGCGGTCCGTCTCGATGTGCATGTAAAGCGTGACCCCGAGCTCGCGAAGGTCCGCGACCTTGAGCAGCGGCGCGATGATGTCGCGGCCCCAGTCGTCGAAGATGAGAAGCCGCCAAACCACCGGAGAGGGGGCGGCCGCTTCCCCCCCGCGGGCCTCCTCGGGCGCCGTCGGGTTGGCCGCCGAGTCCAGCGGCACCGCGGCGTTGATCATCCCAATAAGAACCTCCTTTTCGCGAAGGCGAAGCGTGTGCTTTTTTCGGACGGAATCCCCGCCCTGCCGGCCGTAGCTCGCGACGCCGCCACTGTTCGGGAGGAGGGCTTTGGACATGGAAGGAAACCCCCCCCCTGTGGCGCTGTTCGTCCTGCCTAAGTAATTGTAAACGGGTGACCCACTCATCACCGGATGGCTATTAGTGTGATTTAGACTAATCGTGTTGAGAATACGTGTAACTTACTCCTGAAAAGAGAAAGGGTTAAACGATGATGATTTTATCAATAGCGGTAAGAAGTGGGAGTCAAAACAATTCACTATCGTCGAAGTTCCGATAAATTGTTGGGAGAAAATGCTAGATTCGGGAGAGAACAAATATAGTACGAATAAATCTAAATATTACGGTATGAATTTATCTGGTGTAGTTTAAAACACACACAAACAAAGATCTTCGGTGGAAATATAAGGTAGCTGGAGAAATGGAAATAGAAGGATGGGAGACGACCTTCCTCATCAACTTCCTTAGATAAAAAAAATTCCTTCACGACAGAAGTTAAAGAAAAGATGCCACTCCCTCTCCCCCCCTCGTTTTTTCATCCCTTCAGAACATCAGATGGAAAAGAAATATCCCAGTAGCGCGGTGGCGTGGGTCGGCCTGATGCCCTCTCCCGGAGATGGGGAACTCCCCCCTCCTCTTCCTTCGCCCAATCCTCCAATGCGCTCTCTCCGGAGGCGTAAAAGTGGCCGAGAGGCTCCTGCTCCATCCGCCGCGTCTGGGCGTAGTCCGTTGCGCGTACCTCGCGCGTCCGAACGAGGGACACGACGGGCTCGGATCCCGCCACCCCCCCCGGCGGCGCCGCTTCAAAGGTCGAAAACCGTCGAGCCCGTCCGTCCCAAGAGGGCCCCGAGGGATCCTCTTGGGATCGCAGGGCCTCCCCAGGGCGCGGTTTGCGGGAATGGCCCCCTCGCCCCCCACGATCCCTCCCCCGCGAGGAATTCGCCTCATCGGCCGCGTGCAGTACCGGGGCGATCGTCGCGAGGAGGTCGGTGGCGGTGAGAGGGGCGGCTTCGCCGTTTTCCCCGCCCCCGGCGAGGCGGCGGGAGCGGCTCTCGAAGTCGGCCCGCGCCTCCAACCGCGCGGTCGCCGCGCTTCGCTTCCGCGGGCGGCGTCTCCCCCCCAATGACGCCCCAACCCCCACTTCCGGCCTCCCCTCCCCCGCCATCCCGCGCGGCAGGGGCAAAGGCGCAGGCGTGGGGGCCGAAGAACGGAGATCGCCCCCCTCGTCGGAACCCCCCCGCCCGCATTCCCCCGCGAGAAAGGGGAAAAGCACCGCACTGAGGCCGGGTGGGGTCCACGCTTCGCCCCCCGCGCGCTCGGATGTCGATCCGGCGATGGATTCCCCCCCAACGGCATTCCTTCCCCAAGGCGGCGGGCTTTCGGCTCCAATCA